ATGTGGTTGTGATATATTTTCCTTTTTATGTATCATTGGGTTTGGATTTTTAGTTACTTTGTTTAGGATTTTTAGCATCCATGCTCATCAAAGATTGTTATAATTTTCCTTTGCTATAATGTCTTTGTTTTTGGCATCAAGATTATATTGGCATTATAAAAGTGTTGGGAATTTATTCTTCCTTTTCTGTTCTGTAGTTGTGAAAAATTGGTATTCTTTCTTTAATGTTTGGGGGCATTAATCAAGGAAGCAATCTAAGCCAAAGTTTTCTAACAGTGAAGTCTTTAATTATGGACTATTTTAATAAATATACAATTGTTTTCTATTTTATATCAGTTATTCAGTTTTAAAAATTTTTTGAAGCACTTTTTAAAGTTTGTTGGCAAAATTGGTCATATTAACCTTTTGTTTTCTTTTTAATGTCTGTAGAACAAGTACAGAAGTTTCTCCTTTTATGATATTGGTTGTGCATGCTTTCTTTTTTTCCCCCTGATCAGTTCTTGCAGAAGTACGCGTTTCAGTAGTCTTCCCAGAAAACCAGCTTTATTATTATTAAACTTATTGGGGTGCCATACGTTAATTATATAGGTTTCAAGTATACTACCTATGTATGGTATACACGTGTATATTGCATTGTGTGTTTACCACCCAAAGTCAAATCTTCTCCCGTCACTATGTATTTGACCCCCTTTACTACCTCCATCCCCTTCCCACTGGTAATCACCATAATGTTGTCTGTGTCTATGAATTTCATTTGTCTGTCTTGTTCAGTTGTTGCTTTCAGTTGTATATACTACTCAGTCATATGGATGGATCTTGAGAATATAGCATGCTAAGCAAAACAAGTCAGAGAGAAAAAGTCAAGAACCATATTACTTCACTCATATGAGGGATATAAAACTTTTTTTACTGAGCCTCTCTCCTGTATGTTATATTTTAGTATTTTATTTTCCCTCTTTCCTTTCTATGTACTTATTTTGATACTTTTAAAATGGATATTTAAATAATTGTTTTCACCTTTGCTTCTTTTCCAAAATATTTAAGGCTTTAATTTTTTCTCTATGCATTACTTTAGCTGCATCCCACCAGTTTTATAAACTGTATTTTTACTATTCAGTTCAAATATTTTCTGATTTCTATTATGTTTTTTTTACTTCTGAGTTACTTAGAAATTGTTTCTAATTGTAAGAAAATATTTTAGTAAACTTTTATTCCAGCTTAATTCCACTACAGTTACTGAATACACCCGGAATACTTTCAAATTTTTGAAAACTGTTAGGACGTTACAGCCTAGCACATAATCAATTTTGTAAATTTCTATGTGCACTTGCAGTAAACATGCATCCTGTAGTTATGTGTCACTATCATTTACTTTTATAATCTCCTTTATAGGAGAAAAATCAAAATATTAAAACATTTTAAAGACACACCTTTTTACTAATTAAAGTTAAATATGCATTAACATTAAAATATTTACTAAATATTTCTGAATTTTAATAAAAATTTGTATCCACAAATTTCTTAATATTCAATATTCTGTAAATGTTCTTTTGATCAAAGCCATTAGTAATCACAATGAAAATAACTTGACTTCATTGTCAGTAAAATTGCTAAAGCAGAATAGAAAGCATCTGATATATAAGGATAACAATGTGTGGTGTTCTTTTCTATTAGATTTAGAAATAAATTACATCTAGAGGATTTTGCTAATCCTTTGGTTAAATAGTACCCTGCTCTGGACAACTCAGCTATGTCAAAGTTCTAAAAGACCCAAAAATATGCTTTCAAAACACCTATCTGAAATCCATCAAAGAAAATTAGTTTGCGGTATATCCACAATATGTAATTACACTCTCCACATACTTTTGCCAAGGAGTCATTTTTGTTAACCTTACTAAGATAATCATGTTTCTTTTGGGATTACAGTTAAATATAATGACTTAAGAACTATGTTATAGATCTGCAGTATCTCAAGCTCAGCAGTGTCTCCCCAGAAGAAGCTACCTAACATCCTCAGAATTAAAGTGGAAAATTCTACCTCAGAATTGGGAATCAAGGTGTAAAGCATTCCAGGCTCATAAACAGTCCAACTACAGAGTCCTCTACATACTTTCCAATTTAAACTTTCTTAAAAACCGACTTCAGAGTGGAGTGGTTGTCAATCCATTTGAGCCTACCTATTATATTGATACACTAAAATGATAGAATTTTTTTTAAGAAAACAACAGCTATCCATTTATCTATAGTGTATGATTCAAATTCCAAAACCATTCCTATGTTGCAAAGGCATAAAGTAAAATGGATTTTTCTTCTGCCACCTTTATAGTATCACTGAGAAAAATGCAGACTTTAGCTTAAATTTTTTTACATGACATTAACCAAATTCTCCTACTAAGAGAATAGATGTTCTTCCAGCATTCACTGACATTCCCCCTATATCTACTTCTGCTAATATATGTCAATAATTAGTATTCACCAAGATACATAAGAATCTTAGAAATTTCTTTTTCTTTCTCTTCTTTGCCCTCCATGTCCAATAAGCAACACAGTAAGTTCTATTGGTTTAATATTCCAACTATTCCTAAAATCCATCAACTCCTCGACTTCAGGGCTTCAACATCCAGATCAATGCAATGGCCTGCCTTCTGCTTTCTTCTCCCCTCTCATCCAATGCATACATTGCTCTGTCATCTTTTTAAAGTTGTTCAGGTCATTCACCTCCTTAATCATTAATGGTTGGTTCTGTTGTCTTTATGATAGTACTTAAGATTCTTAAGAAGCTAACGCCACCCAATTATTCCAGCTTCACTCACCTGTTTTGATAGACTATACACCCTGAGCTCTACTCACAGAAGTGTAAGGGTCCTGCCATCAGTGACTATACCAGTGACTCCTGCACCACACCTTTGGAAGTGTGAATCTGTTCAACCTGGAATGCCCATTTGCCTTCCTTATTTCCTGAAATACTCCTTGTCTTTGTAAAGTCCAGCTGAAATGTAACCTTTTTTGAAAACTTCTTAGAGGTAAGAGAAAATAGTTAATGCACTGGATCTGAAAGCATGCAAGTACAGTTTGAATTCTGACTTGATTACTTTTTACATATGTAACCTTGGCCAAGTTATCTAACTTCTGTTCCCTCACGTGCAAAATGGTGATGATAATAGTACTTATATCATAGTGTGAGGATTAAGTGCAGTATGTTCTTAGCAAGATGCCTGGCACAGTAGGTGTTTAATAAAAAGTAACTTGAACAGCTTTAATTACTTACCCCACCCCCTACTAGCCCACAAATTATAACGCCCGTTCCCTTTGGGCTCTTGCAGTACCTGGTTCCATGCTATTATTATGGCACTTATAGAGAGGACTATAATTTGTTGCATATATTAACTATCTAGTCACAGTTTTGAGGGCAAGATCTTTGTATTTACCTAAAATACTGACTTCTAATGCAGTACCTGACAAAAAACAGAATTTCAATGTTTGTTGAAGAATGACCGAATGAGTGACCGCCCCATAGGACTGCAAACACCTCCAAAACACAAAAGTGGCAGGATTAAAAATCATCACAAATGTCTTTTCTTCCTAATTTACAATGGTTGTACAAAGTCATATAATTAGTAAATAACAAAGCCAAGATGAACATCTGCCATTTGTATGATTCAAGAGCCTTAGCTCTTAATCACAATGGTATGCATATGAGGTCTGCCTGGAAAAAGTCCAGCCACTAATTGCACGAATGATTTGCACGACATCGACTGGAATGTGCATGTGTAAACAATGACTTCACTGCACTAGTCAGTGAGGGTGTAGACTCCATTGAATGGGCTCTTGTACTGTGTGGGTGTTGCATTCAAGATAATTGAGTAGACCAACAAATCGGCATCAGATTTTGCATTAAGCTTGAGCATTCCTCCATGGAAAACATTCAGATGATTTGAAAGGCCACAGTTATATTCAACTAGTAATTGGCAGCTTCATCACAACAATGCTCCTGCTCATGCATCACATCCCCTGCAAGTTTTTTTTGCAAAACATCAAATTACCCAGGTGATTCAGCTCCCCTTCAGCCCAGGTTTGGTGCCCTACAACTTCCAGCTTTTCCCAAATCTAATATCACCTTCGAAAGGGAAGATTTCAGACCATTGACGAGATTCAGGAAAATATGACAGGGCAGCTGATGGCTACTGGGAGAACTGTGTGAGGACCCAAGATGCCTACTTTGAAGGGGACTGAGGCGTCCTTCTCCTATGTACAGTGTTTCTTGTATCTCCCATCTTCTTCAATAAATGCCTCTATTTTTCATGTTACATGGCTGGATAACATCTGGACAGGCCTTGTATGGTCACTGCATGCTGGTAGCAATGCAGGAGGATTTGACTCTCCGATATTCTCACTTGGGATCAGATATAACTTCTTCAGCTAAATTATTTCTGACATCACTATTAGCTCTTAACAGAAAGCCTGAATTTTTCTTGCATTTAGAATTAGAATTTTAGCCCTAGCAATGATCATGAGAGACCTAACAAAGAAACAGAGTTGAGTGATTTGCCCATGCACATAGACCTCTAGTTCACATAACATTTATTTTAACATGTATTAAATACAATCCAGATATATATTCCTTTCTCACATAAAGTCTATCCTACTTCAATGTATTTTTATATTTTTATTTTATGGCCTACAAAACAACTGTATTATCCTTTTTCGTTAGAACTTTTTTAGTAAAAATATCCTATTGCTATTCAATACTTAATGGTCAGATTTCCATTCACACAATCAAGTTTCTCTGATGTTCTCTATCAATATTAGCAACTTCACAGTAGCGAGGAGATACATTATAGAACATGATATTCATTTGAAATTTAACTCCTTCAAAATGTAAGTTCCATGTTTTGGGCATAAACACTTTACCCTTCTCAATTCAGCTTTACTATTTTGTTCACTACAGTAAAAGAAAAACACACCAAAAAAGAGTTGTTTGTGAATGATTAAATTATGGATAATTTTTATTTAGATTTTAAATTTTTTTTACATGTTTTCTGTAATGACCATTTTCATTCCCCCAACTCTGTCCTATAGCCAAAGCTTCGTGGCTATAAAAGGGGTGAACAAGACCTCCTCCTGAGTGGGGAGGGAAAAAACCCAAAATGAGGTGTTGGGAGTTCAAGTGGGGTGTGAAGGGTGTCACACAAAGAAAGAACCGTATGCATGTGTGTGTACATTTAAAATATATACATGTGTGTGCTGCATACATACATAAAGCTCTCTAGCACTGTCCACTGAGGAGGAGTGGGGGCAATGGCATCCCAATCATAATAAGACATCTCACACACAAGTTGTGGCTTCTAAATACCAATTTCCACTAAAAGGCGTAAAAATGGCTGATTCCAGAACTGAGGCAACAAGGAAGCACAAAATGAGTTTGGGAAATCTTGCGTGCTCAAAAGTAAGAAGTGCTTTAAAAAATGATGACAACATGTCAAAAGGACACAGGAGCCAGGCTGAAGGGAGCTCCCACTGATCAACTGTGGGATAATTCAAGAGTCAAAAGAAATAATCCATTGACTAGAAAACCACAAATCATTACTAATATTAATAATTTAAAATTCTGATTAAGAGCAAGATATATAAATAGCTTCAAATTACCTCCCCACAAAATACTGAGAGAAAAACAGTTAATTTACAGTGACGGAGCCTGAAAGGTAGTATTCTAAGCAACTGATCAAAATGAACATCATCAGAAATGAGGCAAACTGAAATTGTACACTACCTGATAGGATGCAATGAGAACACAAAATTGCTTCTATAATACCCCTGCCAATAAAAAGCACAACTGGAATCTAATCATGAGTAAACCGATAAATCCAAATTTAAGGACAGATGTTTTACAAAATAACTGTCCTATAGTCTACAAAAATGCTAAGGATAACTAAAGTCAAGGAAAGACTAAGGAACTGTTCCAAGGCGAAAGGAACCAGAGAGCTTATGACCTATGCTAACATAAGATTTTGAACTAATCCTTACTGGGATCATTAGTAAAACTTGAAACTTGGTGTCTAAGGATTGGATGGGAGTAATAAATCAATGTTAACTTCCTGATTTTGAAGGCTGTAATCATGGTTATATAGAAGAATTCCTTCTTTTTGGAAATACGAAGGTATTGACAGGTGATGTGTTATTATACCAGCAACTTACTGTTAAAGTGGAAAATTTTTATTTGTACAGTATTTACAACATTTCTATAAGCTTCAGATTGTTTCAAAAAGTTTTTTTTTAAGGAGAATGGAGAAAACCAGTCCATAGATTATTATTCTTAGAGTTGATAAAGGAATTCATGATCTGTAACTCTAAAAAAAATAACTTTAATTACTATGGACTTTGGACAACTCCTGTGTATACATATGTTCTTCAAAACTGTTTTAATTTTGTGTCAAGTTGCCCTAAAATTTTTCTCACAAATAACCTTCTGAATCTCATTTAAGTATGTACGCACATGTGTGTATGGACATACGCACACGCACTCTCTTTTCCTGTTAGGATAGTGACATGTTCCTAGGTGCTGTTCAGTAGAGAGAAGCTATGTGAGTTCTATTTTTAAAATCAAACAAAAATGTAGGTATTACTATAAAAATAACATCTCCCCCATGTGGCAAAAATTAAAAATACATCCCACTGGAGAATCCTAATATAAAGGCACTTAGTATACCTTATCAAGTATTTTCACACAATTCCATGTGAATCCTCTAAATAGCACACAGCATCTGCAAACAATATACTTAGAGGTAGTTTCAGTTTTCTTTAGGTCAGCATTTTCCAGATTCTACTTGGATAATATTCTCTATAGCAAAAGGCTGCAGATTTGATAGAATTGTCGTAACAAAACACCAGAGTTCAAAGGAACCAAATTTACCCACAGTATAAAGATTAAAATGATAGGCAGGTAAAAAGAGATGGCCTCATTCAAAAGCATCTGCCTATTTAGGATAACAGGGACATTATGAAAGCTTCCTACCTCTCCAAGTTTAATCTAAAAAATTTGAATGTCCACTACAGGAGGTTAACTTCTTGGAGTTGGGTCCATCCAATCTTCAGGCTTAGTTTACTAATATGAAGATTCTCTGGAAGGAATAAGACATTTCCTTCACTTAAAACTGCCAATGGTGAAAACAAGAGGAAGTCATTCATCTGAGCTATAAATTAAACAACTTACTCCATATTTCTCCCCCTATTCTTAACCCTGCATATTTCTTCCTATTAAGTCACTAGTCACTGATGATTCTGTTTTACTGACTTCCCAATGATTATAAAGTAATTTAAGTGGTTTCTGAAAGTAAACTTAATAACCAATTTGACTTTTAAATTAAAAGTGGCTCAGTTGGATACTGTCTCTTCAACACAGTAATATAAATATTAGTATCATGGCTAAAATGAATTATTGACAATATTAATACATGTTGCACAGTACATATTAATATAGAAAAATACATGTTATCAGCAGTATAATGTTGACCATTTTCTAATCCATTCCACCTGCTCAAATATTAGTGCAAATAATTATATATTTGTAATGCATCACTGCTATCTAGCACAAAACTATGCCTTCTGAATAAATGAATTTCCTCTTAGACTGTTTGCTGCTTGGAGTATGATGTGATATATTCATATTTAAATTGGCTTTGTATGGTGAGGCAGACTGAAACCTTCTAAACCACTTAGAAAATGAGCAACTATGGTTAATTACCTGTCTCTTCCCCCAAAAGTGATAGTAATCATAAGAACTGCTTTACGGCTACTTCCCAAATAATAGTGTTAAAGTGTACAGGACCTAGTTTAAAAATACCAATCTTGTTAAGCCCAGGGTTATCAGCCTAGCTGCTTCAAATCACCAAATAAATTTCTTACTCTCTAATGTATCATGTTTCTCTCTCATATACACTTGTGGGATTTCCCCTCCTTAAATTTGGAAAGAGAAAGAACTGATCACTGGTACAAATAAAAGTTAAGAGTTAAGGCAACTTTTAAAAAGATTAGACATGTAATTTTTGATACATAGAAATGATTACCTATTATTAATAAACTGAGTACATTTTCCCCTCACACTTGCACTCCTACATTAGCCATTTAAAAACTACCAATGTCCTAAATAATTAATAGAATCGGCAAACTTATGACATTAAAATAATTTGTTTTTGAAGGCAGAAATACTGATTTCTTCTTATCTTCCAAAGAGTTGTCATTTACTCCCATGTTACAAGATATGGTACAAAATACTTGAACTCTTTATATTATAAAATTAAGTAGAAACAGTATTATGTAAAAGAATACTCACTAAAGAGAACTTTTTGATGGAAATATTTCTATTAGGTACAAACTTCAATTAAAATTTCATGCCCACTTACACAATTTTAAAAACCAAGTTTAAAAGTATTATCACACATTAAAAAAATCCAATGGCAAATTAGATACTGACACTGTATATCAATTTCATAACCTAAACACTACAATGAGAACTAAACATTTGATGAAAATAAAATTAATCAAGTGATGAGCCTATCAAAAAAAAAGGGACCTATTCAATGTTACATAAGAATCTTGTATTAAACAGTGTGTGCAGAGTTAGGTTTCAAGCTCAGCCTTTTACTAGCTGTAGACCCTGAACAGGTCTACTTAACATTTATATGCCTTACGTATTTCATCTGTCAAATGGGTATAATAAGTACACAACCCCTAGGGCTGTTTTAGAATCAAATGAGATAATAAATGCAAAGGGCTTAGCACAGTGCATGGACCTTAAGTCCATAAATGTAGCTATAATTATCTTTATTGTGCATCAAAATTAAAAATCTGCTCTTTTTACTTTATGTAGAATTATTTACTCTAACAATATGGACTGGTCTTTTCCTCCAAAGTACACACGTATTTCAGGACAGACTTTCTCAAACAAAAAGAATACTACAGGAACTAAATACAATTAAACTAAGTGGATGAAATCACTGAATGTTTGTGTATCGAATGCTCCATTAGAAATCAGGAGAACTCAGTATGCCACTACAAAACATATCACATATCTGAGCCAAAATGGGCAATATACAGGTAGTATGCAGAAAATTTTTGCATCAAAAACAGTTAAACTCCCGGATGTGAGCTTTTTAAGTCACTAACAAATTATGCACTGAGGGAACCTTACTGTCACATACAGCTCAACAAGCATGCCTCAGGCTCTGCCTTATGAACACAGGACTACCTTAAGGGGTTGTGTGGCATTCCAGGAACCTAAATCTCTTTATTTGGTTACTTGTAAATATTCAACATCACAGACAAGAAAAAGAATTTTAAGGAAGCAGTACATTCTCCACTTTGAATCAATGTAGTGGCTGATAATTCACTTATTTAACTAAGAGCCAGAAGGCTGATATTCAGATAGTGAAATACTTAAAATGAAAGAAAATGGCCTGAAGTATATCATAAATTAACCTACTTAGCAGCTCTTTTTAAAACAAGAAAAATGCTAGGGACTTGCAACCATAGTGGATCCTCATAAAATGAGGCTAATAAGTGTCTTGGAAGAGTCAGTCCACTGTTCCACCCAGCTGTTATTTAATAGCTCTTCATAAGGACTATTTATCTATTCTGGTTGAACATCTTTTTTCAATATCATAACATATAAACACCCGACTTCCTTCTTAAATCTGTGTTCTGTATTTCACTTTCTGTACCATTTTATGCAAACATAATATACTCAAGTTTTGGAAAAATAATTAATTTGCAGTGTTTTAGAGCACATTTCCAACTTCAACATATTACCTAAATATTGCTGTTAACTCATGTGGAACTGCAGAAAAATTGCAAAGATTATCTTTATTCAAATGTTGGCTAAAGTTACGAATATACAAAGTTCCATTATTGCTACCTAAAATTACCATGTACATATGAAAAACATTTCCCTTACTAATCATCTCTTTTGAGCCATAAATTTTGGGTAAAATTTTGTAGTGGCTGTAATTATCAAAAATATTGTAAAAATTGGAATATTTCTGCTAAAAAAGGAAGTGAGAAGACCTATGTTATAAAAAATAAGAAACATCTTAAAAATTAAAATTTAAATAAAAAATAATTTATAAAATTCAGTATGGAGTCCTTAAATGCAAAAAATAAAGTGAAAATAAAAAAAAACAATTGCAGGGAATTTGTTTATTGAGCATTAATATTAACACTTCTAAATTAAGTAATCACTTATGAGTTTTCTTTGTCACTGTCCTGTCAATGGACATAATGCAAAATACTGCACAGAACTCAAGCATGGGAATAATAATTAACAAAATATCTATGCAACAAGTATATGTCGTACATTTTTAAATTAATCTAAACAAAGTAATTTGAAGTGCTTCTTTGTTTTGGAAGTCTTAAAATGTTCTCTCATGTTTTGAGATCGACCCCCCAACCCCTTTTTACAAATGGACACTGTATACAAAGAGTTCAAATGGCCAGTAAAACTACTGGTTTAAAATTGTTGGCTTTTAAGTAACAGAGGTATAATGTGAGTTCACATCAGAGCTTTCCAAAATGGCAATAATACAAGCATATGACTTTCTCTGCTATCCAAAACCTATTCTGGTTCTCCCTTGGCTAAGGAATAGAAAACTAGACAGCTTTCTAAAGCTGTCACAATTTCCTTAAATGCTTTAATAAATGTTGGCATACTTCATTTGTCTTGCTCACCTTGATAACACTGGGCTAAACAGAAAATGAAGAGAATTCAGTCAACAGTAACTTAAATAGTAGCTAGCTCTAGACCTGAAAGTTTTGGTAAAATGGATGACCACTCAGAAACATTCTTTAAAAAAAAGTAGTTTTCCAAAATTAGGCCAAAATGCCTACATTAAGAGAAAAAAATGCCAAGAATGAGCTGAACATTAATCTGTTCCTATAAGATTATAAACAGCATAATGGAAGCTGAAACACTACATATAGTTTAAGAATGCATTTTCACAGAGCAAGTTTACAGAGTAATAGCCTTTCTAAATTTCCACTTGATATTTAAAATTTTATAAGTGATTTATTATGTCACCATATCAAGCCAATTCAATTAATTACATTCAGTAGGCACTGCTTCAGAAATGCCTTGAAAAAGGTAATTACAGAAACTATAGATTTAAAAAGAACTAACTTTGCAAAGCTCATCTCCAGATTTAGACTATCAATTCCCAATTCCTATTAAAATATAAGACTATCTGCATGTTTAGCCATCCCAAATTATTCCAGTTTAACCTTAAGATAGAAATATTAAAGGATTGCTTTGTTGCTAAACATTGTCAATATTTCTCATTTGCACTATTTAGAGAATACCTCACTTTTTTACCTCCCTTACAATATTAAAACAATGAATAAATATTGTCTTTCTGTTAAGGTCCTCCACCTTATCTTAACTGAAATATAAAACAAGGTAGTTTTATTAATTTCTTGCTAGCAATGACTTAAAATCTGTTTACCAAATAATAGTAAACTTTAAGTCGTGTTTTTTCCTCCAAAAAGCAGATATATTCTAATCCATTCCTAATATCTACATAAAACATTTCATCATTTTAGTGTATAACATTTTTCTTGAAATAGTACTATGGTTGTACCTCACAAAAAATCCAGTCAACCAACTACGGAAATTATGCTCAATTGTTAACCTTTCGAAAGAGGAAAAAGTTCTCTAGGAATACCTAAAATAACTTGGTTAACAATTACCAGTGCTGAAGGTCATTAAAACTGATAAAACAGGATGGTAAAATTTCCCATGGAATACATTAAAGAACATGAACTGGAAAACTGGTAACATCTCATTTGCCTTCTGACACTAAGATTTTCCAGGATGAAAACCATGACATATAGTTTCACAGAAGTGGAATGGTATTAAAAATCAACTTAAGAGTAAAAAAAAAAAAAAACAAAATATGGCTAGTAGTGTCCACATCTTTAAAAAATATTTCAAGGGTAAATATGGCTGCTGTTTTTTCAAACAGTCATTTTTTCCATAAAGTGTTGGCTATGTCATAAGAAATCTCCTGTGCTTTCTATCAACCAAGGCCTGCTGAAGTACAACACATTCCCCTTATAAATTCAACCTCAGCTGAAATGTCGAGCAAGGCGGGCAGATCTATAGTCAGCACGAAGTTGTACGAAGGAGTGAAGAATGTTCTTGTCCAGATTAGCAAGTTGTTCTCCTGAGCAGACTTGCTTTAAATTATCTGGGGCAACTACCAGAAGATTGCAAAGTGCATGCAGAGTATCAAAAAGCTGTAATACCAGTGGAATCTAAATTGAGATAAGAGAAGAAGGAAAAAAAATATTAAAACAAAGTAATTTCTAGTTCTATGATTAGTAAATTCTTCTCATGTACATACTATCAGTCAGGATTTACTCATGTGGGAGGGTTCAATATATTAGAATTTTTAAAAGCTCCTAAAGTATTAAAACAGAAATATTGTAGTCATTACATAAACTTGGCTATCATCTTTCCAAAAAGATACCTATTTTGTCAATTTTCTTCTATCATAACAATCATTTATACTTTTGTGGACTAGAAATAGTTATCATCAATTTAGCACTTATCTTAAATAATTTAAACCTTAAGGAAAAGTGATTTCAGAGAGATGAACATGAAGTAAGAACATATTTTGCTGACATGTGACATACACAGCATTAGTGATGATAGTCAACAAGTTCATGTGGACTGTGGGAAATATGACTTTGTCTAAAACAAAGCATAAGGCAAAAATGTATCAATATGGAAATATGATTACAATACTTTTTCAGTTAGGAAATGTTATTCTCATTACAGCATCAATAAAAGTTATAAACTTTTCACAAATGATAAATCAGTATAGATTTTTAATGATCTGACACGTTCTTGAGCCTACTTATAAGTTTGATATTTGTGAATACATACCTTGAAGTCTTTGGCACACTTCCTATATTCAGCTACATCACAAATTGCTAACATGCCACCCATACAACTGTAGGAATATTGTTGAAGATGCTCATAAATAAGTCGATGAAAACGTACTCCAAATTCCATCAAAACTGTATCTACATTCTTTCCATCCATGGAATTTTTAATCTTCTCCACTTGTTTTCTTACATAAGCACAGACTTTAACACAGGCCTGTAAAATTTTTTCTACACTTATTACATAGAAATGTGTATCATGTTAGCTAAGGAGAAAATATATATTGTTTCTCATTAATCTCTAAGTACAGAAAGAAAAAAAACTTAGACTACAGTAAGATAAACCAATGAAAATGATAAACAAGAAAGCAGATATTTCTTACTAGCATATATCAAATTACTATACTCACATTAGTATACTGAATCAAAACATTGTTTTCATCTTCTGGCTTAAAGTCTGTTTTCTTTTGTTCTGCAGCCAAGATATGCTTCATTTGTCCAATCATACAATTTAATGTTCTAAAGAATTGAGAACAGCATATATTTGATCCATTTATTTTTATTTATACTAAAGTAAAACTATTTAATTTAATATCACCATAAACCTATTTTACTACTGGTAGACTTTAGATTTTAGAAAAAGTAAAATCTAGGTCTTGATGTCAAAGAACTCTTGGTTTTATTAGCTTCCTTCTAAAAATGGGCTAAAAATCCATTTGCCCAATCTTTAAAATATTAGAAGCCTGTCTCTATTTTACTTCCTTAACAACTATATATAAAGAATATTTAGGAAAGGGAAAAGAGAGGGCATAAGAAGAATGGCTAAAGTTTGGAGAAGCAGGTGAGAGGAACATTTGTTTCATAGCCTAAAGACAAGCAGGAGGCTGGGGACAAGTGATACTGAAGACCCAGCTGATAAATAAGAGAATGGATTTATAATAGGACCAACAATGTTTGAGTTTTATGATATTCTCCAACAGTAATCAGCCACTCAGTTATGGGAATAAAAAAGACTGCACTGATCCACAGTGTAGGATCTTTAAGACAGTTATGGTTAAAGAAAATGGGTTTTAGGGTAATTATGAGTAATTCAAGGATGGACCAAGCAATCTAAGCACAATAATGAATAAAGTCAAACCAGGAAAAGAAAAACAGATTAGCAAGAGATGAAGAGTTCCTGCTAAGGTCAGGAAACAGATAGAAGGTTGTGTGCCCTGCGTGGGATTATTCAGGTTCAAGGCTATACTTTTGTTACCAATGATAACAAGACTGTGTCACATACATGGAGGTCGAAATAACCTAAAAATAACCTAAGACTTAAGGTTTAAAGAAAAATTGTGTGAGTCTGATGCCCAAATCCTCAATAAATTTAGGAAACTGACATAAATGAGTGAGACACAATGGCAAAAAGAAAGAGAAGATGACGTAAACTTCAAAGGCAAAGGAAATCTGGCCTAACAGTGCATGGATATCAATCTGAAAATACCAGGAGTAATGGAGGTGAATGCTGAGTTCACCCCTTGGCCTCACTGTACATGGGTTTAAAGGAGAATTGGAAGTTCACATTCAAGAGACCACCACAGACCCTGGGCCTTCAACCAGACAACTAATGCAAAGACTTTGAGACTAAGGCTAATATGGAAAGAGGAAAAGAAATTACCTAATACATATATTAAAAAGGCAACTAGGAAATTTCTATTTCCTGTACTTTTGAAGACTTAACATATTCAACTTCCCCACCTCCCAAATATGATTTTCAGGTATTCTAACGCAAAGCAAGAAGAAACAAATAAGTATGAGGGATTTATGTCACAAAAATACATACTTTCTTAAAGTGAGGATTATAATGTATATAATGTATACATACATACTGTAATTTTATTGAGAAGTTTTGTATATCTATAATCTTATGTGGTCCTAAAAACAAAGGAAGAGATCAGTTTTTAGGATTCTCCTAAGCATTTAATTCTTCCGTAAACTAGTCTCAGTAATTAATTCTATAACATCCTCATCCTTCCAGTTTTATTCTTCAATTTTATCTTCCTTTCCCTTATTACAACATACTCTATGGTAATTCTTGATCTTAGTGAGAAAGTAACTGAGAGATGAGGTGCAAGTTTGCTACTACTAAGAAAGATTATTTAAAATTTTTTAAAAATTTTATTTAGAGAGAGGGGAAGGGAGGGAGAGAAACATCAATGTGTGAGAGAAACACTGATTGGTTGCTTTTTGCATGCCCTGAACTGGGGACCTGGCCCACAAACCAGGCATGTGCCCAGACCAAGAATCAAAGGCCAACCTTTCGGTTCGCAGGCCGACACTCGATCCACTGAGCCACACCAGCTAGAGCTATTCACTTTTTAATAAAATAGAGTGGATTCCAGGTTTTCTTTATAACAGCACCATAATTAACTTGCATTCAATTATGCTTTCTTCAACAGAAGAAAAAGGAGTAGAATTACAGTAAATAAAAAAGATATGCCAAAATCTAGTACAAGGGGCATTGGATTGAATCCCAGCTCTACCAACATTAACTGAGTGATTTTGAGCAAATTACTTAATTTCTTTAAGCCTCCATTTGTAGCCTCATCTATAAAATGGAAAGATATTTCCTACCTAATAAATGAAATAATACAAGCAAAGATTCTTTCACTATGCCTGGCCTACAGTAAATGTTGGAAACATGGTACCTATTATAATCATCAACAAATACAAGCCCTCCATCATCTCAAAAGAAAAAAGAGAACCACTGCTTTACAGTAATGGATAGGTAATCAACTACAATAAATGTTACAAAAATATCTTTTTTTGCATTCTTGAAGTGATGATTATAATGTATATAACATATACATACACACTATAATTTTATTAAAAATTCTACATTGCATTTTTGAATGTAGAGTTTGCATTCACTTAAAGAAATTATCTTTAGAAAATTTGTCTATTTTATTTTTATTGATTCCAGAGAGAGTGGGAGAGAGAGGGAGAGAAACACCAATACGAGAAATATCAATCAGATGCCTCTTGCACGTGCCTCAACCAGGGACCAAATCCACAACTCAGGCATGAGCTCTGACTGGGACTGGATTCTGTGACCTTTTGGTTCATGGGAGGGTGCCCAACCAACCAAGCCACATCAACTGGGGCAGAAAATTAGTGTATGTATTTTAAGCATTTCAAATATAAGCCTGAAAATTCTAAATGAAAATAAAACTCTATGTTACATACCATTTTAAGGAGTTGGCGGGGGGGGGGGGGGAGGGAGGGAGGGAGAGAGACAGAAAGAGAGAGAGAGAGGGAACATGTGTAAGAGGGGGTGGTTACAAAAATATTTTTTTAACTGAATCTGGTTTAAAAGTAAATCTAAACACACTGACTTACAGAAATAATAAGCTTAGTAATCCAATAAAAATAACATTCTAATAAGGATGAAATCAACATGCAAAAATAAAAGTCAACTGGTAAAATTAAGACAGACGTTTTTTCTTTCCTGAACACCATTTTTATGGTGCTACAATGATGTTTTTATAATTTTTAAAAATGTAAGAGAAAAAAAGTAAAACCTGCCCTGGCTGGTGTGGCTCAGTGGACTAGCACCGGTTTGGTGTAGCAGTCAGGGCACATGCCAGAGTTGTGGGCCACATCCCCAGTAGGGGTGCACTAGAGGTAACCACACAATGATGTTTCTCTCCTGTTCTTTCTCCCTCCCTTCCCCTCTCTCTAAAAATAAAGTCTAAAAAATTTTTAAAAAAAAGTAAAACCAACAACTTGCCTATCAATGCCAGTATCCAATTTCATCTCCATTTGTTCAATTATTTCTTTTTTCTTCTGAAGGCATTCAGATAACTTAGGAGAAGAGCTTTTGAATGTTTAAAGAAAAAATCACATTAGTCTTACAAGTCTAAGTTTTTCACAGTCATATGTGTTTTGCTATATACATTTATATAAACACACACATTATTTTAATATGCTCACAAATACAACAAAACACATGAGTACTAATTATATTTGACCTTTAACAACATAGGTTTGAACGGTACAGGTCCACTAATAAGTGGACCTTTCAGTAAATACTGTATATGTATTTTCTCTTCCTTATGATTTTCTTAATAACATTTTCTTTAGCTTACTTTAATGTAAGAATACAGTATATAATACATATAACATATAAAATATGTGTCAATCTACTATTGAGTTTATCAGTAAGGCTTCTGGTCAACAGTAGGCTATTAGTATAGTTGAGTTTTTAGGGAGTCAGAAGTTACACACAGATTTTCAACAGCAGGGGTGGGGCAGGGCAGGGTTGGCATTCCTAACCCCCTCATTGTTCAGGGGTCAACTGTATTTAATATTCATTATAAATGTCACAGTAGTAAAACTTAACCAGTTAATAGAGAAAAGGAAGATTTACACCTGTTACTACTTTCATCTCTGAGATGACATACCTTAAGAATATAAAAATGTGATTTTGAAATTTTGGAACTATTTGGCTTCCTTATTCATTAAATATCTGGTATACTAGTAAGAAAAGTCACAGACTATCACGAGAGTCTTATGATCACAGTAAATTACACTAATTAAAATTTGGAGACAAACAGTTATATTTAGCTTTCTTACATTAAAAACAAACAAAATACCCGACAGCTTTATTTGCTCTCTGCATGCTATCTAAATGTCAAAAACACGCAAAATAATAAGGAATATGCTCACTAAGAGTTATGTGAATTCTTTGCTGTGGCATTATAGCTCTTTAAAAAAGTAAATTTTCTTTCAAAATATGATTCAGAGATCACAAGTAACCTTTATCTTTGGGATTGTTTCTGGATTAATTTCTTGACATATCAACGTTAATAGCAAAATATCTGGAATTTTATCTTACATATATATTCCTCTTTAATAGTAACAGCACTACACATAAAGTTTTATAGAGCAGGTTAACATATATACTATTTAACTTAATCCTCATGTGCTTTAAAAGTTCACATAAATTGATAGGAAGATATAAACCAAACCTTACTTAATGCCTCATCAAAATCTATCCTATTAATCTCATAAAAATTTGTATTGATGTCCTTATATGACAAAAAGTGGTTATAAGCTAGGGGTCTTCTTTCACATCAGACACAGGTTGATTACAGATTCAGTCTTTTCAAATAAACCAAAATTAATACCACAGAAGCAAGGGAAAATAGGAGGCAAGGAAGAAGGAAAAGAATCTTTACTTTTTATTTCACACTTTCCTGTCCTGTTTGATGTTATTATTAATATGTACTACTTTTAATATTTAACAAAAGATACGTAGACTATTATAATAGTTATTAAAATACGAATGAAAATTTGACTAACCTTATTAGTGGCATAAGGTGGTCATTAAACTGCTTGTCAAAAAGATGGAAAATAGTATTGGCCTGCTGCACAACATCCAGAAAATAGAGATTTGCATTCCGAGAATCTGAAGAGGGAATTCCTAAAGTTGGAAGGCACGTAAGTATTAGAGTCATACTTTCAGAAGCTCACCTTGGCAACAGAAGAGTGTGGTTTTATATATACAACATGAATAAAAAACAATTGCTGTTTTAATAAATTAACAGTGATTTTTGTAGACAGAGTAAAAGAAAGAAAATGCATACAAAGTTTTCAAGCTCAAATTTTCACCATCTCCTGTCTTCATTATTTGCTGAGATAAACTGAAAAATAGATCAATAAGTGTATCATCTTAAATTATACCTTTTCCCGCTCTCTTGTGCCTAATGATTTACTTGAGCCATGAACATACATCTGCCATTTTTCTTATAGTCAGGCCTCTTTATCTCTGAGAACAGTTAAAATAATTTTCTTATTCACTTCCTGGTTCAAATCTCTTTATCTGTTATGCCATAGCAACATACTTAAACTTACTCATTTCACTCAACATGCTCTCCACTACTACCCTTAAAATATTCATTCTCCTCACTGTCTACAGAATAAATTCTTAATTTTTAGTATGGTATTCAAGCCAATCCATTTAGTAAAGAATTCAAGCCATTCTGGCCCAAAAAATACAGGTGACTGTTCCAAATTTCAATTCCCTTTTTTGAGTAATAGATAAACTCTAAGGTCCTTCTAACCCTAGATGCTTAGGTTTCTAGCTAAAATTAAAAGGCATAAAGCACTAAGAAAAATATTCACAGCAAATGAGAAAAAAAATTTAAAACAGAGTTCTTTATAGAATAATGACTTTTTTCAGTTTTTAAAATGATAATCAAAGGTATTTTATTTTCCCACAAAAGACAAAATTACCAATTTGTAAGAAAATTAAAGGCTCCAACACAAACTTACAAGAGAAAAAAGTAAGTCAATACACGTGTAGGAAATACTAATCCTTGTTATTAATGAAAGTATAGGGCAGTAAGTATACATATTTTTAACCACTAAATTAAAGTTTTAAAAAGAAGATTCAATAAAGTGCAGAAACACTGGTACAGTCATACATGCCAGTAGCAGTGTCAAAGAGTAGGGAAAAACCCTTTAGGAAAAACAGTTTATATGTACAGAAATTTTAAAAATTGGTAACACACTTTGATCTGGTTATTTCAACTCTGGGATTTTATGTAAAGAAAATCATTCAAAATAAGGAAAGCACTTTAAGCTCTGTAATTTCACTGTAGCATTATTTATATTAGTAAATTGCTGAAGAGATCTAATCTGTCTAATAATAGGGATGGTTAACTTTATCAAATATACATGTGACAGAATTTTAGACAATCATTAGAAATGATTACAATAAGCAGTAATGAAATAGATGCATGGAAAATATTTATGAATGTAAGGGACATTCTTATCCTAGCAGGAAATTTCCTAACCCCTTCCAAACTGTGAATACTGCTATTAAGATGAAGATACTAGATTTTCCATACTAGCTAAATAAAAAAATCGTTCATACTATATGGATTTTATTTCATTGATTTTTCCATTATCTTTTTAAATCTTGGCACCTTTGAGGTATTATTATCCCAATACAAATTACCACATTTTAAAGTCATTTGCAAAAGGTAAATGTTAAATACCTGATGTCAACCGTCAGCTGTAATTAAGAAACCAAAAAAAAAAGACACAAATGCTTATCTATATTACGAAAGCAACTATACAAAAAATGGGTAATAATAAACCACAAGGTTACTAAACTATGGGTAATTTTGCTTCAATGTTAGAAACTTTATGGAATAATGTTATACACAGTCAACAAATATTTTTTGAGTGTCTGCGGTGTGCTTTCTAGGTGCTAACCGATAATGGTAAGTAAGACACATGAGATTCGTATCCACAAGAGCTTATATGCTGCTCTCTGAACTTTAAAACTCTCTCCAAATACTCAATTCACTCCTAGGCTTCATTTAGCTCTCTGGTGTATGCCTTCTCAGAGAGACATCCTTTCAAAAAAAGCCCTCTGCCCCTGAATATCCCTTCCTACCTCCCCATTACTACTTCCTATCTATCTCTTACTCAATTTTATTTTTCTTTCTAGTCATTTGTCTACCTTTTCCACAAGAATTCAAGCTCCATGAGTGCAGAAGTAGGCACTTAATAAGTATGTACTGAATGAATTCTGGTGAATGGAGGCATATATTAACAAATGAAAATTTCACTGTAATAAGTGTTATGGAAAAAGTTAACTCAATGATGCAATGATGAGTAGGCTAGGAGAGGAAGGCTACTTTAGCTAGGGTAATCAGCAAAGGCCTCTCTGAGAAGGTAACATCTTAGTTGAGCAAAGAGAGCTGAAAAGCCAGACGTGAGAAGAGCTGAAGGAAAAGGTTAGGGGATGGGGAAACACCAAGTGCCAAGAGCCTAAGTGAAGAAAAAGAATGAAGGCCAGAACGGCTAGGGTAATGATAGCATGTGATATGAGGATGACTACATATGAGGAAACCAGATGAAAAAACCAGGCTTCTATAAAGAGTTTGTTGTTATTTTCCCCCCTAAAAGTAATAGGAAGCCACTAAAGGGTCTTAAACCAAAAAAAGATAAACTGTTACATGGAGTCAGTAATTTGGAGAGGCAAGATCGAATGCAGGGAGACCAGTTAGGAGCAGACGGAGATGGTGTTTAAATTAGAGTGGTATCAGTGGAGATGGAGAAAAGTAGGCAAATTTGAGTTATGTTTGGAAGTGTGTATCAGGATTGAAGAAAAGGAGGAATTATGGCAACTCCTCACTTTAGGACTTCACTGGTAAACAGTGATGCCTTTTAAAGGGATCCGGAACAGGTTAAGGTGGAAGATCATGTGTTTCACTGGAGAGGTTAAATTTGAGATGCACAGTGAACAGGTGGAGAGGTCAAGGAGACAACTGGATTAATAAGACTAGAATTTAGGGAAGAAGTCATGAATACCCTATTAATGCACAGCTTTCAGCATCTGACAAATCCTTGTATTTCAAAAGCTCAGAAGGCATTCATTGCACGGAATTAAATTCGACACATAGAGCTGAATATATATAAAACATTATACATTCATTTAACCAAACAGGATCAAAGAAATTTAATACAAATTATAACACAGACAAATATACTTACCAGCAAGTCCTGTTTCCAAAGCATAATCAATATGCTCAATACATAAAAATTCCACAAGAATGGTAAAAATTCTAAAGGCATTCCGTGGTAGATCAGAAGGATCAGAGAGCTAGAAAACAAAAATCAAACACATCACTCAAGTCTACCTTAAAAAAAAACAAAAACAAAAAAAAGAAACACTTTTTTTTTAAGCAATCAACTTTGCATAAGTTGTAGTCAATATTCAGGTATCAAAATAATAACTTAGACCTCTTCCTCCCCACTTTCAGTGCCTTTTTTACCTACATATAATGCTCCGTATTTGCCTACAAGTCTCCTGGCTTGAACTAGATCAATGTTTTTCTGACCTGAATTGCAATCCCTTAGAAGATTGTAATAAGAGGGAAGAGAAGAGAGAGAGAAACAATAGAAAATAAAGTACAATAAAATCCCTTTTAACGTACACAGTAAAACCAAATACAGTTTCATGAAATACGCATGCATACATATACATATAACAAATGTACACTGGGCTACCCTAACTGGTGTGGCTCAGTGGGATGGGCATCATCCCACAAAGTAAAAGGTCGCCAGTTCAATTCCCAATCAGGGCACATGTCTGGCAGGAGCAACAGGTCCCTGGTTGGGGACGTGTGAGAGGCAACTGATTGGTGTTTCCCTAGCACATGGATGTTTCTCTCTCTCTCACTCTCCCTCTCATTCTCTCTCTCAAAAATAAACAAAATCCTTTTAAAAAAAAAAAAGGTACACTGGGCTGCTATATAAAGTGCATTTCTTATTGTGCGATACAGTCATAGAAGCTTGAGAGCCACCAACTGAACAAAGGCTATTCTAGCAATACTGAGAACAAAACAATATTCTTTATTTTACTGAGAGTAGAATAGGGAAATCAATAAACTGAAGCACTATAAATTATGAAAGGCTCAAATCCCAGCTTCATCACTTCCTGGTTGAATGAACCCTTGAGGTTAAATAACACTACAAAGCCTCAATTTCTTCATTTGTAACATGGGAATAATATGAATTGTACTCACATCCTAGCCTTGAGGGGAAAATATGAAAATGCACATAAAGTACTTTTAACAGTGTTTAGCACATAGTAAGCCCACAATAATAAATGTTCATTTTGATGCTGATGCTGATTAACTATTCAGTAAAAGAATTACTAGTAGTTAGCTGAAAAAAATTCATTCCCTTTTAAAGAGAAAATTACCTCTCAACTTCTTATAAATGCTTTCTTCATTACTTATCAATTGATTGTTGCCTACTGGTAGTCTCCATTTATGCACCCTCTCAGAGTAATGGTTATTATCTGGTATATACAGCTGGAAGTGAACTACATAATCCACCTAAAATGCCCTAAGTCTCCACTGATTATAGACACAGATGTGGCATTACTCAATTCCATTCTTGGTCTTCTTAGTACCATCCAACCTTTACCCTCCATACCACAACCCTACCACAACTCTCACCTCCTTTATTTGCTCACAGATGCTCAACAACAGATACCCTTGATAAGCCATAAAGAATACAGAACTATTAAAAAATAATAACAGACAACCCAATTTCAAAAATACACAAAAAAATACCAAAGAATATCTATATAGATGACAAATAAACACATGGAAAGATGCTCAACATCACTAGTTATTAAGAAATTCAAAATAAAACCATAATGAGGTATCACTACACACCCTATTAGATTGTCTAAAATTAAAAAGATTCATCATACTAAATGCTGGGGATTCTGTGAAACAAACAGAACATTCACACACTGCTGATAGGAATGTCAAACGAAACACCTCTGGAAAACAGGTAGTATCTTAATGACTACTACCATATTGTTATTAAGTATATATCCAAGAGCAATTAAAGCATTATCTGCACAGAGACATATGAATGAATGTTCATTGCAAATTCATTCATAATAGTCAAAATAATGGAACCAATCCAAACCATCAATAGGGTAAATGGATAAACTGTGGTATATTCGTGTGATAAAATACTACTCAGCAGTGAAAAGGAACACACTAATCAATACACACATCATAGATGAATCTCAAAATAATTATACTGAGTGAAAGAAGCCATAATCACATGTACACACTATAATATACTATGATTCCTCTTATAAAAAATTCTAAGAAATTAATCAACTCCTTGAAGACATCCTATTTAGCTTTCAAGACTTAGTCCTCAAATGTCCCCTTCTTTTAAAAAACTCATCTATAGGGACATATAGCAGATCCAGGGTTGCCTGAGGATAGAAGTAGAGAAAAGGGAACAGGGGATTTATACCAATAAAATGGCAACAGTGAACTTTTTGATATGATGAATCTTTTCATTATCTTGACTGCAGTTACAGTTTTAAAAATGTACACATAATTTATCAACATTAACAAATAGTTTTAATAGTTTATTGAATGTCAATTATTATATCTCAAAGTTACTTTTAAAAAAGGAAATAAAAATCAATCTGCTTACTCATTACACTGCCCTTTTTAATATCCTTTAAGCAGCCATCATCAACTACAAGGTCAAGTCCAAATTTCTAAGCTTGATATACAAAGAGTTTTTCTCTAGTTTTTCAACCTCCTATCTTATTATTCTTCCCATGTACATTTTAATTTCAAGCATTTTTATGCTGCATGATTGATCTTTGTATGTCTGTACTATTCTCTCTGCCTAAAACAGCCTGCCAGAATCTTCTTAAAGATATCCTACTTAGCTTTGAAAACCCAGGCCCCACCCTGTATAATCTTGACAGCTATATGTCAGATGACCTAAGGCTTTAGAAATATTTTAATATATTTTCAGCATTCGTAAAATTAACAGTATTACTGTATCACATATGCCCATCATGCCACCTAGGCGTATGATACCATAACAGTTTTACAAATCTACTTCTAAATAATTTAAAAGTAATTCTGTTCTCTAAAACAAAAATCCTACATATTTTTAATATAAAAAATGGTTGTTCCTAACCAGAGAGAAGATTTACATCTTAGTATAAACAAGGCAAAACTTAAAATATACAATTATATATAAATAAAATCAATTTACAATTACTCTTACCCTATGACATCTTTCAAAGGCTTGTTTGGTTTCTTGTAAAAGATTAACCACCACTTCCTGGGATAGAAAAGTTTCCCCATGAGTATCGATACTTGGCCCCAAGGGTAAGTTGGTACGTTGTCTAATTCTCTCTTTCAAATCTTGAATACTAGAGCATCATATCAATAAGTTAAAAAAGAACACTTCAGTATACATAGATTTCAATTTAAATACTCTCAAACTTAGTATATATCAACAATAAAAAAAAATTTGACCAATACCCAGAAGGCCTGAAAGTTCTAATTTCTATCATTAGTTCTGAAAAGAGGGGTAGGCCTTAAATCTCTAAACAGAAGACTTTCATCTGAAAAATTAGGAGATTTGGAGTTATGATCTCTATGTCAGCTCTACACTTCTGACTCTGTACCCAAAAACTCCTTGTTCAGTTTTCTAGGAAGTGGGCTATTCCAAATAAGGTAATAGTCTAGATAACTAAATGGTCCTGCTTAAAATAAACTTTAAAATTTTAATCTTTTAAAAATATATTTAACCATTTAAACACAATGGTCCTAATAATCTCAATAAACATATTGCACATTTCTTCATTATTAAACACGATATATTAAACATGATTTAGCTTTTCTTAATGACTAAGGATCACTTTAAACATTACATGATGGTATCATTAGAAGCTTAGACTGGTTTTTTTCTTTTTTTGCTCCTAAAATATATATTTCCAGAGTACTAGCAACTAATTTTTTTATGACTGTTCTTTTTCTCTTCCTTTACTTGCTGCTTCTTCAGATGTCAATTTTTATTCCTAATTATAATCTCTCCCTGATCATTATTTAATATATGACAAACTGGGAAATAAGAAACTGATTTGGGTGTGTATGTAAGTGGATTCTGAACCCTGATTATAGGGCTCCACAGAAGACATTCTGCTTCATCCTAGAATCAGCTGGGGTTCTAGATAGTTGCAGTGTAGATTAGTAAGGTGCCACCAATTCTTACAGCAAATCACTTTCTTAAAGTATGTGAACAATCACAAGTTTTAGGGTTTTAATTAATTTTATGTACAAGTCATTAAAAAGTTCAGTGTTTCCTTGCTTTTTTTTTTTCACACCTACAACAGTCAACAAAAAAAATAATTGTGCCTCCTAGTTAATAACCTGGAACACTTTACCAAAATTGAAAATAAAAAAGAACCTGTAGAACTCTTTATAGTACTGGTATTCTGCTTTACATTTTAATTGTTATGTTAGGTCATTTTCAACAGGTGGTTCAAGAGACAGGATTTGATCAATAGTATAAACAAACTGGGTTGAAAAGTTTTTCACAGGAAATTCCAATGGCTCAATATTTGATAAGTCTGTCCAAATATAATGAAATTCTTAAATGTATTTAGTCTTATTATAGAATATTTAACAGAAACACTCACCCTCCTGTGCCAATGGATCTCTTCTGATGGTTTTTTGAATCATAATAGCGCTGTAGGATCATAGCACTTCTGCTTTTCAAATATCCAGTCTCTACCTCAATATAGTTCTCCAAATAGGAAATGAAAATGGATTTGATAAGCTTAGACAAGAAAGTCTGTTTATCAGTACCTAAGTTAAACTCCATCAACTTGCTGGAAAGATTTGTGGTTCTTTTCATGGAAGAGAAGGAAAAAAAGATTAATATATATTTTAGGTATAATAACAATATTAATGAATATATATTTTTACAATGTGACTTTAATTACTTACGTTAAACCACCATTCTTAAAATGTGGTAAGGTACTTACTAGGATGCAGAGAGTAGCAGTATAGAGTTATATGTAGAGTAGAATGAATATCACAAACAACATTATGGGATTTTTTGGTTTGTTTTCTCTTTTTGCAGTTTTTATTACATTATTGAAGTTACACTGTTTAATGTGATTATATAGGTTTCGAAGCAACATTATGGCTTTGAAAGCTGCAGTAAACTCCTAGGGATGACTCAGGAAACTGAGGAAACCAACCAGTCTAGACACGGCAACCAGTGGCTGAATGGCTTCAAGCATTCTTTAATGCCATTCATGTATGACATGCACACAAGCCAGAATACTGAGAAGTCTACTCCCTGATCATTCTCTTTTATGTTCATCCATGTGAACTTTTCTCTAACTTTGTTTCCCATTGTTGAAGACAGGCTCATAATAGTACTGTTACTGATAGAAACTTTCAGATTATGGTTACTTTTTAAAACTCTCCTCCCAAAAAGATGACACTGAAGAATAAGCAATAGGTCTGGGTAAAAACTCTATATGAAGCTTCTGATATAATATTTCTAAGTTTAACACTGCCATTCACAAAAAGAAAAAAAGACAAATTCTCACATTGGACTTAAGGCTGAAATCCTCATTTTTGAAGAATCTGTCACTTCCTTTCTCAATTTCTAAAGTTTTAACTGTAGATAAATGTAATTATACTAGATCTTGAAGAAAAAAATTGAAGAACAATGAACTAGCTTACAATTCAAATCAGAAACAAAACTCTCAAGTCTTAGTTTAAACAAGGTAAACAAAGCTTTGTTTCATTAAAGTACATTAATATAAAGCATAATATCCAACCCCTTAAATTAACATACCAAGAATGCTGCTCTTATACAATACTAGTCCATGTAGCCAAGCATTTAATGCTAAAAGGCATATTGCTATCTGCCAAACTGTTATTCAAAAATATCTGAATACTTCCTCATTTTCCAAAAATAATCTAAGATCTGTTATTATTTTCTAATAATTAAAAACATACCTTGTATATAAATCATAGAGATTTTTGAGATACTGCTCTGCATCAGACTTCCTACATTCTTCTAACTGGTCTTTCACAAAACTCTAAAAAAAAAAAGTCAACATTTTGTCAAGTAAATACTAAATTACATAGTCAAGAATTAACTTCACATTCTTAAAATATTCTGACTTACAATTCAATGGAAAAGGTAATGCACAGAAAATAGACCAATATAAAAATGTAAGAAAACAGGTTTTAAATTTTACCATTATATTCACTAGTCCATCTATATCAGTCTTGGGAATAAGTATTAGGAATTTCAAAACATCCTGTCTTTTTTTAATGGCCTATCCTGACTCATGAAGTACATTTTTTAAAAAAAACAACAAAACCCCTAGGACAAAACTCATTATACCAATGCAGTCAATTCCTTAAAGCAGCATTTACCAAACTATTGTCTTGGTAGCATTAGTGTCCCTTCAGACATTAATAGGCATTACTCTAAAATCGGGAAATGTTATACAGTATACCACCACTTCCAGAGAACCACATACACATTAGTACCTTTAAAGGCTATTAAAAAACGTGATTTGTGTTTTAAAAACAAACACTTACATGTTTCTTAATCGAGTGATAAACACAGTTTAGGAAATGTTGCTTTAAAGTATAGTGCTAAGAGAGTAAATGTTGCAAATTAAATTCCTGTGTTTTCTTTCTTTCTTTCATGTAAGTACCATATTACATAAAATTTTACAGACTGCATTTGTAATTCTTGTTCAGTTTCACAAATGCCATATATTGGTCAATGTGAGGACCCAATATAAATAAAAATCTAAGGGTATCCTTCAATAACCTGTTGCTAGTGCTACTATTGGTAAACAAAATTAAAACATGTGCTCTGATGACACTTAGTGATTAGCCGTTTTTTTTTTCAAAAAAACATTTTTTAAAAAGCATGACACTGTCATTCCTAACCTCTTCACTGAATAAGTAGATTACTACTTATGGGCATTACATAGTAAACTCATTTTTAAAAGGCTTTTAAAATATAGAGAAAAAAATCACACATTGCATTAAGGACTACTTAGTCATTATTTAAAATTACCTGTAGTTTGATTTCAAATACATTTTGAATAAGTTTAGCCAGTACTGTTTCTGGATTACTAAAGATATCACCAACTTGTTTGTTCACCCGTTGACAGAGTATTGCTGCATCTTCAAATATATCATTTCTCAAATAAGCACCCTAGATAGCAGAGGCATTTTACACAGTGAATACATAATTTTTAAATGAGTTTTAAACACAAATAAACATAAAATGAAATGAAATCAAATAAAGTATACTGTTACGTTACCTCCTGGCACTGCTTTATATAAACATCAACACAATGGGAATAACCCTATGAAGAAGAAAGAAATACATTATCACTGTTCTGGTTAAATTATAATAATAATCTCAATAAAAGGGTTATTATACAGGGTGGGGCAAAAGTAGATTTATGTTGTGAGTACACCAGAGTTTATTTTTGTATTATTATTTGTTAATTATTGAATTATTTTCCATACAAACTGTAAATCTAATTTTGCCCCAACTTATATATAATAAAGCTATGTCTATGTCCCAAGGAATGACCAACAGTTGTGGGACTTGAAAGAAGAAAACTGAGGTATAACTGAGTTCTTTATAGTCATTTACCAGTCATCACCAAGTCATCCCTTTCAACTCTGAAACTAAAATGTGCGCACAAGCGCACACATACACACGCAGATTCAAGGTCTTGAGAAAAGGTTTTATGTATCTACATTTCCTTTTTTCCTGTCTTGGATTCAAAGCAGACAGAGTTGTATTTAACTGACCATTCTGGAAATTTGCCTTAAAAATTGGATCCATTTTAATAAAATGTGTTTAATATATTTTTTTCTCCTCACCCAAGGACATTTTTTTTTTTTTATTGCTCTTGAGAGAGAGAGAAATGGAGGAAGAGCGGGGCAGAGAGAGAGAGAGAGAGAGAGAGAGAGAGAGAGATTGAAAGAGAGAAACATTGACTGGAAACGCCCTGACCAGATGTGAGACCTTTTTGTCCACAGGACGATGGTCCACCATCTGGGCCACACCAGCCAAGGCATGAATAGAATGTGTTTAAATAAAACAATTTGTCATGTTAAGCTCAAATATGAGATTTTTGCTTATTAACAAACCATGCATATAAACAAGTAAGGTAAGCAATAGGAAGTACACTGTCTCAGGAGCCATTCTTTCTTTTTTAACTGAATTTATTGGGGTGACGTTGGTTAATAAAATTCTATAGGTTTCAGGTGTACAATTCTATCGTCACCTTAAGTCAAGTCTCCTTCCATCACCATTTACACCCCCATACCCTCTTCTATTCCCCCCTACCCTCTTTCCCTCTAGTAACCATTATCTGTTTTCTGTGTCTATGAGTTTTTTGGGTTTCTTTTTTTTTTTTCTGAATCCCTTCATCTTTTTCCCCTCAGTTCTGCCACCTCAAGAGCCATTCTTAATACTTAGATATGGCACTTAAATGAAAAGCCCAACAAATGGATTATAGTTCCCAAATCTGATACAAAGAAACAGACTCAAAAAGGCACTATTTCTTTAAGCACTTTGTTTGCATTCCCATATAGGGGATTCTCTTCCTAATTCAAATTATAGGAATACAATTCCATAATAGAATATTCCTTTGTATTATCACCTGAGATCCTCTGGATTTAATTTAAGTCTTTAACTAGTCACATTTCATATATTCCATGGTTCCTACATTCCACCAGATACTTAAAGTCAAGTCTTCTTGCTTTTGACCTATTTCATATAATGCCTGACTGAAAAAAAAATACATTATAAACCAAGAAGGCAAACAATATGATTTTCTATGTCAAACTGTATAAAAAGTCATATAGCTTGATATATTCTGATATCAAATATATACATTGGTGTCTGATAAAATATTAGTGTTATAGAATACCTATTTAAATAATATTAAATACCTAAAATTCAACATCACTTATGAGATATGAAATGTACATTCACACTATTCAAAACAATAAAAGTTATCATTATGACAGTCATACAACCAATAGGGGAAAATCAGAGACTATAATATATAGATAATATATATAATATATAGAGTTTATCTAATCTCCACAGCCTTGAAGACTAATCTTCACTTTTAATTTTTACTATTTACCTTAAAATGAAGTAAAACCGCTGCTACTTCTCTCATTCTGGAGATTTCACCTCTTCTTTGAGCACTAGTAAACTCCTGAATCAGCTGGCATTCTAAATCATGGTATTTACCTAAAAATAAAAAAGAAAGTCATTCAGCTACAATGAGATAGATACAGTATCTAAGTTACTTGCAGTGAATCTAGACCCCACAATATACTGTGGTATATAAATCTATATTTTAAGACAAAAAAATCTTCCCAAACCAATAAAGCAACTGAGTTCCCATAGTTTCACTGCTGTTTACCACTATTACTTTAAAAAGCAGCTGACTAGGAAAAATCTCCTAAGTGGAATCTCTGATAGCATGAGATAGGGAAAGTCTTAAAAACTACAGAAAGGGTATGGAGGACTATAGAAATTTTTACTTGAGTTCAGATGCCTTTACCTTGAACAACAGTGGATTCAACACCAAATTTCACCATAAGACAAAATACGATACTCAATTCACTACATTCTTGAGATTGTCACAGTTCTGAACAAGTAACTGAATTTTGGACTAATCTATAGCGATCACAAACACTGCCAGAAAGTCCAACTGCCATCCTTATTCTAAAATTTTTGGGAAAACATAGTTCTTTAAAACTTCTATGCAAAATGGCCTCTCAAACTGACTCAGGCTGCTATGAGAGCCTGCAAATACGGTTGCTATTCCAGAAACCTAGAATGATCTACCTAAAATATAATCCAAACACTGGCAAGAATCAAACTAGTCATGTAAGGAATTGAATAGGTACTAAAATGCTCATATGAGCTTAGCTTTTAAAAAAAGAACCTACTCTAGAGATACATGTATAAATACAAAACAATCTCCAAGACACACTGTTAAAATAAAAACAGAAGGTAAAAGCTATTTGTATAGTATGCTACTAATTACTTTAAAATAAATGGGAATAGTAGAACTAAATTTTACACATATGTACATGATTCATGTTCTCTGCTTGTATACCCAACTACTCTGGAAGAATACTAAAGGAACTTGTAATGGTTGTTTCAAGGAAAAGCAATCAAACTCAGGGATAGGGTAGAAGGGTGACATTGTTTCCACTATCCCTCTTTTTACTACTTTTTCTTTTACACAAAAAATTTATTACTTGTTCAAAACAGTTAAATAAATAGAACCCAACTTACTTGCAATTTTGGATTTTACATCTGAAAATCTGAAAAATAAAAACCAATGATGAAGTCCATTAGTTGTGACAAATGTATCATAGTAATATCAAATAGTAATAAAAGGGGAAACTGAGTTTGGGAATATATGGGAATCCTCTGTCATCATAAAGGTCATTATAAAAAAAAAAGGAAGAAAAAGACAAAACCAGAAGAGAGAGAGTACTCCCAGGAAGCAAGCCAGGTGACAAAACTAAATTTCAGCAATTCAGAGGGATGGCTGGTTCTCATTTAGGAAATTCACATTGAATAACCAATTCCCGTGTTACATAGGAAGAACTATATGAGGCATTAACAATTCAGTCAGCCCCAAAACTGAGCTATCGCCCTTAGTCATATTCACTTGCATCTGGAGGGGCAGAGAGAGAAAGAAACATCAATGTGAGGGAGAAACATCACTCAGATGCCTCTCTTGTATGCGCCCCAACAGGGGATCGAACCCAGAACCCAGATATGTGCCCTGACCAGGGATCAACCTACAAACTTTAAGTGTACAGCAATATCCAACCAACTGAGCCACCTGACCAGGGCTCATCAGTTTTCAAAGGTGCTTTAGATCTTAAATGACTTAAGAACTCGTCTAGAAATTGGAAAAAGCAACTGAATGGTCCTATGTTTAACCTCTCTCTATCTCCTCCCACCTTGGTTATCAAAGTCCAAAATATTAAATTTTAAACTCTCACTTTAGTACATTTCAAAACTCTCCATCATTTTTTCCACAGAAGGAAAACAAAGGATTGAAATTATTTCAAGGTATATTATTAAACTTAGAAACTGAGGCCATATTTTTTCATTCAACTATGATATACTGTACCTTGTACAAAGGAGGCACTCAATAAATTCTTGTTGAATTAATGAGCAAAATCATACAGGAAAAAATACAAGTTTATTCTATTAATTATACCATATATTCAAATTAGCTCTTGAGAAATAAACTTGCCTATCAAAAGGTAACTCTTGGGCGATTAGATGCAACTTCTGAATGATGTCTGCTGCCTCCTTTATCTATTAAAAAAATAAAAGCAGTAATTTAAAAAAAAAACCCTTACATATTAAAAAAAAGTTTACTTTTGAAAATAGTAATATTCCCCTATATATGCCCACAAACCCTCACCCAAACAATTTTCTTTTAAAATCCACAACAGGTAAAATATTTTGAGCAACAGGAATACATCTGGGTTATCACTAATGAGTTAGTAAAGCATACGTTTGTCTTTTTAGCACCAAAATCTTATAATTTTATAATACCACAAAATTTTATAATATAATTCCCAATGAAACCTGAAGTTTGTTAACTCTGGAAAAATTCAACTCACTCCTTACTGAAAGCAAAAGTGTAAGTTTCTTCTGAGTTTATGAACCCAGAAAGAGTAAACAAGATTTAAGAAAATTATTCAGATGATATTGCTGCATATATTCCACTTTAAATTAAGTGAATAAAACAACAATGCCACTTTTCAACTCATCAATGATTTAGGTCAGACTAACCTCAAAATGTAACTATTCAAAAACTATAGAAATTCTGTTAATACTAAAAATCAGTTACAGAAAAAATACTCAACACAGTTACCTCAGCATTCTAAACCACACATAATTTCATAAAGAAAAATGCCAAGTAATCCAACTAAAAACTGAAATATAAATACTTCATCAGCAATCTGTAGGCAAGTGTACTAATTTACATTTCAGAAGAATAACAACTTTTAATAAGTCAGCTACTCAGTGATTTGAAGTTCTTTTCTGGAAAGTACTAATTGTAACTTACAATTAGGACATTGTTATTAATGCTGTAGTTTGCTTTTATCCTTCTGACAGTGCTCACCTTTTCAGAATTTGTAAATACATCAGATTTCAATTCCCCATCCAGAAACTCATTAAAGTATTTCATCAATTTCTGAGCCTCTACTGCCCGTTGTCTGGGTGTGTTTACCCCTTCCAACTGGTCTCCAAGGTGACAGACCTTGGTTGCTACATAGCTAATGTGCTCATCTAGTTCTTGGAAATGCTGGAAGGCAACCTAGGAAAAAATGTGCATAAGCATAAAACACAATAACATAACCCAGTTTTTAACTTATCATACATTGACAGCACCCAGAAATAACTTACAATTTGTATCAAAAGTAAACCACCAACTCATCACTACTCTCAAACTTATGTAACTAAACATAACATAGAAGTTATTTATGAGATGATCTACAAAAACAATTCATGCCCATTAGATCAGTACATAAACTAAAAACTTTTTAACACAGTTGAAGACTTTTATATTTTTAACTATTAAAATCATCATATTTTACCATGAATACATTTGCTAATCAACAAAACAGCAAGGGTATTTATTATTCATCATCCTAAACCAAAGTTCCCAGTACTAACTCATAAATAATTCTGATAACAATAAGCTAAGTATCAAAGGGACTGATCAACTCAACAACTCACTTGCTACTACACTAAAATGAATCAAAAACACATTAGAAGTAAGAGACACTGATTAAAAAGAATATTTAACATACATTTATTTTAAATATTTAAGGAACAATGCTAGTATCATAAACAAGGGGGTTTTTTGCCCAGTTTTGAAAACAGAAAATTTAACAATTATTCTACCTAGGCAAAGGTACATTACTTCCTAGAATATCACTTCTCCCAAGGTACACTGACTATCCTGTGGAAGATAAAAACTATGTAGCATGAATGCTTTAGAACTACCAGTAACAAAATTGCTGATAATTCAGTATAGTACTTTTGTTCTAACCTTAAATTGAGGAAGAAAAGCTGCAAACATATACTAAGGATTTCCTCTGTGCTAGACTCTGTTCTAAGCATGTTACTTATATTTATTGTACTTATTTAATTCTTATAACCTATTTTATATGTAAATGAAAAAGTGAGGCAAAGAAAGGTTGAGTTGCTTGAGTTTACAGAGCTAATATTTGGCAGAGCACATTAGCTTCCAAACTTGTTAGATTAACTGTTAATACTATTATTACCACCATAAGAAAACTGCCTTAGAAGTATTTGGAATCTATCATCTTAACTACTTAAAAATACATTTTCTATTTCATGTAATTTACTGACATTTTTATTAAATATTTTCTCACAACCAAACATGCTTAAGTGAAGGACTAAATAAATGAAAACTGAGCAGAGATCAGTTTGCTAATCCCTAACATCAAAGAACGGTCTCCAGGAGGCAGCAGAGTTAAACAATGTTCCTCAAACTTATACACTAATAAAGGGAAATCAAGTTCTAGATCAGGTCCGGGTTGTGAAAGGCATTTGGAGATTCCAGATTAAGTCTAGGGCCTAAGAAGCTTGGCCTATTTAGCCGTAGGGCCAGTTTAAACAGATAAGTTATTTTTACCCCAAACTGGACTAAGGAAGAATTCTGCACCTACTTTTCCCATAGCTACACTATAATTCTTATTAGGACACATACCTCATGATTTTGGTGAAACTTCCCAAACCAGGTTTCCTCTAGGGAAAAACCTCGTCCAGGCAACAGTTAGCCTGGTACTACTTTGTTTTATGATTAAATGAGGATGCAAATGACTACCTAAATATCCAACCTAACAACAAACCCCTAAAGATACAGGTCTGCTGAAACATCATTCCCAAAAGGCTGCACTGTTAGAGGTTGCAAGGACCACTCTGCACTGTATAGCACCCCATTTTAAGAAAGGAGTACTGTGATCCCAAACCAACACTCGGTAGTTAGCCACTGCCAAGAGTGTCTGATAACAATTCACTAAAATTTTATTCCATGGCATGGAAGCAGTAGAGAGAATTCCAACAGTTACTATCATTTGACAAGATGTTTATTAAGAACTTAAAGTTGGAAGGAAATAAAGATATTATAGCTACATAAACTATTAATAGTTTAGCTAAATATTTACCTGATTGCTTTTCTGGAGCTCTTGTACCTTCTTGGCAAATTCCTTGGCTTCTTTCTGACACTGTTGCTCTAGTTTCTCTACTTTTCTTTGAATCCTTTCATCCATTATCTGGAGTTCTTGAATATGATTTACAAATTCTTCTAATAACCTAATAGAGGAAAATTAAGAATATGTATCAATCCATCTATGATTAATTTTAGTAACTAACCAGTTCATTTATAATTTTAAATAAAGTACTAATAGGCATTTCTTGAACTAAGGGTGACCATGTTATCCTTCTCTATACCGTCTTGTTGGGATCATCTCAGACATGAATAAAAACCTCACCTAGAATCTCCATTAACCCCCAAAATAGAAGCCAATTTCAAAGAAACAACCAAAAGGTAAAAGTACTACATAAAAATAATATTGTGCATTCAAGGTGAAGTACAATATTCAAATATTGTACTGTGACTTTCTGTTCCCCCAATTTACATAAAAAATGATACATTCAAAATGTTTTTATTACTAATTTGAGAAAACATTAAATTCTTACAATGTAACAAAATCCCTTTCCTCATACCAGTTAAAAGTCCTTCTCTAAAATAAAAGGAATGTAAAAGGGCGGGGGGGGGGGGGGGCGGGGAGGAATCAGTGCCCAACTTCTAATGTTTGTGTGTTTTGATGACAAATTCTTAATTGTTAAAAGAAATTCCGACAGCCAAATCTATTTCAAACACAAATTTGTACTAGATGGGGTCTATGAAAAAAAATTTACTTCACCTTTTAGGATCAAAAGCTTCAGATCCCCCTCTAGAGCCTCCTCCTGGGGTTCTCCATACAAGACGTTCAATATACTCATCTGCCACAAAAGGCTCCTGGTTTACAAAATACATGTTCTTTTAAAAATTTTCATAGAAGATAACTTAATACCACTTACAAAAATTAAACAGGTTCTACTATGTGAGAACTTAAAATTAAATTACTAATACCAGTACATCCCAACAGAAAAGTGAACATAGGACACAATTAATAGAAGAAATACAAATGGTCAAGAAACATGAAAAATATGCAATTTTACAAATAATCAAATGAGGTCAAATGATGATTTTAATCTCACAAAGTGACAGTCTTTTTTAATTACATGTAATGCAGGAAAGGGTAAGCTGAAATTCACATTCTCATTACTGTTAGAAATGTTAACAGGCACAATATTTTTGGAGGGCAATAAGTAGTACTTCGGTGGGAATCATAGATACGGAGATCATTTGCAGGATTATCAGTGGTTAGGTGGAAGGAGCATAATGGAAGAAAAGGTTCAGGGTAGCTACAAAATAGACAGGGGAAGGTTAACAACAGTATAGGAAATGGAGAAGACAAAGAACTTATATGCACAACCCATGGACAAGAACTAAGGGGGGCAATTGCTGGAAGGAAGGGGGGTACTGGGCGTAGGGGGGCAAAGGGGGAAAAATCAAGACAACTGTAATAGCATAATCAATAAAATATACTTAAAAAAACCAATTGTGATAAATGTGAGGGAAAGAAAACTCCTGGATAGTTTAAGAGTATACAGGGGTGGACTTTGGCAGTTGCCAAGTACATGAAACAGAGTTCATTCTTGTATTATTACATATTATTGTATTATTTATTATTACTAACCTACTTTGCCCACCCCTGTATAACAGAAACAAAAAGGACAGGAAGATAGTGAGGGATGGAAGAAGAATGGAAAGAAGTGCAGCAACAAGTAAACTTTCTGTGAATATAGTACTTAAGCTGAGACCAGAGGAAAGAAGAAAATTCAGCCAGACAAAAATGAAATAAATAGTTTTCCAGACCATTAAGGAAAGACCAGAGGAAAGAAGAAAATTCAGCCAAACAAAAATGAAGTAAATAGTTTTCCAGACCATTAAGGAAAGAAAGATAGAGCTTAACCCATTAGAGGACTAAGAAGTAAGCAGGGACTAGATCACAGAAACCACGTGTGGAAGGGATCCAAAGAGAGGTGACAGTTAACACCAATGGATGATAACCTTGTACTTTTTATCATCACCATTATTATCATATTGGGCACTTGGTCTATACAATAAGGGCTATTACAGTGGGGAAATCTAAATAGAAGTCTTTGAAATTGGCCCTCTCTAACTCACTGTACTAAATCAAGTGGAATGGCAAAAACTAGTGCTTTTCTTAAAGCACTGAAGCAAGGACGAGAAAATTTTTCTTAAAGGGCCAGACAGTATTTTAGGTTTGCAGGCCAGTCTCTGATACAACTACTCAATTCTTCCATTACAATACAAATGCAGCTATAGATAATACATAAACAAGTGGGCATGGCTGAGTATCAATTAAACTTTAAAAACAGGCATCGATCCCATGAGCTGTAAGTTTACTGACTCCAGATCTAAAAAATGCAGAAGTGATTTTATCCATCATTTTCTCATTTAGTTCATCAGTCTACGTTTTTCAGAAACCAGGCAAACCTGGAGGGAACTACCTCAAAATTGACCAATGTGTTATCTCCCAGCATCATGGTACATAGCTAATGATTGGGCAGATACATACTTTTCTACCCCTAGCAGCAAAGACGGTCAGGCAATTCACAGTCACACAGAACTAACAATAGTATACATTTAATTTTGCTTCAAGGCAGTGTGAACTCTTCAACACCGTATTATACGTTATCTGTACCATATGACATTCTCGGAACATCTTATTAATCCACCATACTAACTGACATGATGATAGTTGGGCTGGGTACGCAAGCAGCAGCTAGCACATTGGAGGGGCCTTAATATAATACTTATACTCCAGAGAGTAGGATATACCACTGTACAAAGATTCAAGGGCAAAGTGAATCAGTAAAATTTTAAGGTGGTCAGGGACATGCTGAACATCTCATCCAAAGTAAAGAACAAATTTTTGCACCTCCCACCACCAAGGAAGGACACACAACACCTGGTAGACCTTTTCACATTGTAGAGGCAGCATATTCCACACCTGCTCTGGCACATATATCAGGTAACACAAAATCAGAAGAGGGTTCTGCAAAAGTAGGGGCCATAAAACCAACCCTGGCTGTCTGAGCCATACAACCTAGAAGACCCTATAATGTTAAAATAATCAGTATTTACTAAAATATTAAAGGTATCAGTGTTAAAAAACAATGTCATACGGAGTTATGGCAAGGTCCAATGGGATAATCACAGCACAGACCCCTGGATTGTGAAGCAAGATCATGCCAGCAGCAGTCACAGAGAATTAAACACCTTCAGAGAAACAACTCCTGGTAGGTACTGGACCCTGGTAGAGATGGCACACCTGACCACAGGACACAAAATGACCATGCATCTCGAACGATGCAACATTATCTGGGTTCTAATGATAAGTGAACCTAGGAACTATCCATCATAAATTGGAGGTAGTAAACACAGAATTAAACATGCAAACAGGACCAAAAAGCAAACTGCGTAAGCAGGTAGCCCAGACTTTCATGTCTCCCACCACTATTGCACTAGCCTCCCTCTCTCAATGTACACCTATGGCCTTATTTACAACCAACTGATGGACAAGGAAAAGGCCTGAGCTTGGTTCATAGAGAGTTGGCTAGGCATGTGAGTGCTTACTAAAACTGGACAGCAGCTGCAGTTACAACCTCACTCAGGGGTGGCCATGAAATTCAGTGGCAAGAAAAGTATCTTTCCAACAGGCAAAACTGTGGAAATACACCTGGTCATCCTCTTGAGTGGACAGAGGGCTGACCTGAGGCCAAAATATACACAGACTCACAGACAATGGCAAAAGGTCTGGCTATCAGAGCACAAAGATTGGAAGACTGAAGACAGGGAAGCCTGGGGTAGAATCATGTGAATGAATACATGAGAGTGGGCATGAAGTGTGAAGATCTTTGTGTCACACGTTAACACCGCCAGAGGACAGACTTCCACCACAGAAGAATTAAACAACCAAGACGACAAAATGCCTATGCCAGTTGACATCAGCCAATCTCTGCCCAGCATTAGTACACTGAACAGAGCAAACACAGTATAGACACAACATGGCCCGACAGATTGAGGTCCTGCTTACCTAGACTGATCCAGCTACTGTGAAAGCCAACTATCTAGGCTAACAGTGACAGAGACCAACTCTGAGCCCTAACAGCCTCATCCTTCCAGTAGACTAACCAGCCATGTGGTGGCAAGCTGACTACATTGAGCCCTTTCCAGTAGGGAAAAATAATTCATTCGGATTAAAATTAAAAACACTTCAAGTGGGGTTTGTCTCTCCTCAGAGGGAGTGTTTGTTCCCCTGACATGAGATCCCACATATCATATCAGACCAAGAGACCAATTTTACAGCAAAGGAGGTAACCATGGGATCCACTGGTCATATTACAAACCATACCACCCAGAAGCTGCCAGTCTGACAGAGCACTGAACAGCCCGCTGAAGGCAGAGCTGAAGCACCAGTTCAGAGACAATAGCCTATAACGGTGGAGTACTGTCCTCCAAGAGGTAGCATACATTCTGAACTAAAAACCTTTATATCATGCTGTGTCCTCACAGAGAGAAAAACACATGAGTCTAGGAACAAGGAGTAAAAGCAAAAGTGGCCCTATTTATAATGATTCCTAATTTCGTGCTTGCTATTCCTGTATTTCTGACATCTACAGGGTTAAAAGTCTTGCACTCCCAAGGAGGAACACTTTCGCCTGGGAAAAGTAGTAAGTCCCTTTAAACTATAACTACAAGTGCTGCCTGGACACTTTGGCTGCTTATATTAAGGAGGCGGGGAGGTGAAAAATGGCCATCTTTGTCAGGGGCATTCAGTGCTAATCATCATAAGGAAGCAGGGCTGCTATTACAGAATGAGTACAGGGAATAGTATGTTTGACACACAGACCTCCTCAAGGGAATCTCTTGATACTCCACCGACCAATTCTAAAGTACATAGACAAGTGTAGCTCTGGTCTAACAAGGGTATAGTAACCACTGGAACCACCAAGAATAGCAGAGGTACTAACTGAAGAGGGGCCAGGGGAAGGTGGTTAGAATGAAGAGTAGAGATGGGAAACAATGAGTATCAGTTGCAACGCAACACCTGCAGTTCATCCCACTAAACTTATAATTTTTCTTCTAAGGTAAGAACCCCAAGTGGAAAGCTAAAGGAGCTGTTCCTCAAATGTATATGAAGAAGTGGAGTCTAGTGACCCAGACTGCCTTTCAAGAAGGGACATGCTCTAGCTCTTAGCAGCGCTGTCCTCAGAGAGGCTTCATCTTGCAGTATTTTCAGAGAAAACCTAAGCTGCAGAGAGTCACTTCACTCAATGTTATGCCTTTACCAAATGCAGTCTATATCCAATGACTGACTAAGATGGAGATCATAAAATGTCTGACCACTATAGTCCAAAGCAGGACAACTCTGATAGGTCATTTTAGTTCCAGAACTCCCCATAGGGGCCACCAACACTGTCACTGGACCAGCAATGTAGCCCTACTTTTCCATGGGCCCAATCTTGCTTCCTTACTCTGCTACTTCACAGTTGTTCACCCCAAGGGTACTTCCTAATAAATATTCTGCACACTAAACTCTGTCTCAAAGTCTTCTCAGAGTTCAACCTGCAACACCGCAGTAATCTAATCAGAGATGATAATGGCTCAGATGTAAGTCGCAGTGGAGGAGTGCTGAAAAATGATCAGGTATGAGGCATTTTAAAGGATGTACTTGTATAAATTGCTTATGGATTAATGTGGGGAGAAATTTAAAAATGGAATTATGATTATTCATACAGGTTTTGCCTGTAAAACTCATGCCTGAAAAACTGTGTGAATGGTGGATGTGTCATTTCCTGAGACTGAGGAAAGAGATGGAAGAG